TGTGATAAAAGATAAATGCTTTTGTAGTCTAGGTACTTCCACAGTAATCCTAGATAACTTTATATTGTTACAATTATGAATATCAAATTTTTTTTTTTTTTTTTTGATCGTATGGGTAACGTTGTTTACTACAACACAACTTTGAGATGGTCATAATATCACGTCCAATTATCTAAGCTACATGGCTTTGGGGGCATCACACGAACATTCATAACATATTTGTCATAGGACGTCTCCACCCGCCTATAACATTTTTTAATTATTATTTTTTTTATTATTAATTTATTTGTCATAGGACGTCTCCGCCCGCCTACAACATTTTGTTTTTATTTATTTGTCGTAAGACGTCTCCACCCGTCTACAACAATTTTATTTTATTAACCATTTTATTATTATTATTATTTTGTTATGGTTCGGATCCGCCATCAAAGGCATCTTTTATAGTAATAATAATAATTTAATAATTTTATAGTAATATATCTCAAAGTAAGTGTTTCAAAATCACACTTCTATTTACGAAATATGTAATACGTTTGAAATGAAGTAAATTGAACAAAATGAAATACGCTCACCGGATAACTATTAGGTAGTCGAACAGTCTACCTTGCTGCTCGTTTACTTATACTCTCTCGTCACTCCAGTGGAACTTCGTCTGGCTGGTCACGAATCACATTTCAAAGTGTTCCTCGGTTTCTATTACTTTTTCTGTGATATTTTATTTTATATTAAATCTCCATTCTGAAATTATTTAAATTTTAGCTCGAAATCTCTAAAATCCAACTTTTTATCTTCTCTCCGCCTCGACCATCCTGTTTTAAATGTGTTGCTTCGATATCCACGGACGGATTGTCAAATTGTAATCTAAACTGTTAAAACCGGATTAAATTCGTATGTTCATAACATCGGCAAGGATACTAAATTTGTCAGATGTATGCTGATGCCTGTAATCACAAAACTATTTAAAGGAATGATGGAGCCCGGCCTCAATCCTCACAAATGGTTGACAATTTGTTTTCTATTCCCGGAGATGTTATTTGCCATTGATTCTTGTATAACGCACCCCTGAAATCATGCATTTTATTAAGATTAAATTTACCAATTGATATTAAATTTAAGTTCGGCGTGATATCCTTTTCCCGTCGACAACATGATTGAAACGTTTGACCTCGGTTAGCAATGGAAATGGAACAAAACTTAGCTGTACTCGCAATAGGTGTATTTGATTAGAAATTTAGAGTCAATTATGCTATCATTTGAAATATAACATCGTTTTTTAGTGGCACTGCTGTGTGTGTTGACCGACGTGTTAATATTACTGTGAAGGGTATGTCTACAGTCGATTATAAATAAAGCCGTGGCGCCGGCTGTTTGATATCAAAATCATGTAACTTCTTATAGATTGAGTGACTTCATATTAACTCATAGTTTCCCAAGGCCGCTCTTCGTCATCTCATGGTATTCTCAAGGATACAGCAAGGATCTGTGGTTAGCTCAAGGGTAATACGTGAGTAGCTCAGAGGTACGCTCTCCACATCTGTGGCGTAGACTTGTCTTCTCACGGTTCCACAAGGCATCCCTACGTAATCTCATGGTTCTCGAAAGAGATCCGAAAGGATACATCAAGGACCCGTGGTTAGCTCAAGGGTAACTCGTGATTAGCTCAGAGGTCACGCTCTCCAGATCTATGGTGTAATACTTGTCTCTTCACGGCTCCACAAGGCTTCCCTACAGAATCTCATGGTACAGATTCTCTTGATAATATACCATGGACACGAGATCAGCTCACGGAAATTCCCTACACACTAAAGGCAACATAGAGCTCTCATTATTTCCGAAAAAGAAGAGCGCGTCTTATCTCGTAAGTTTTAAAGATATCACTATTAAAATAGTTTGCCTCTAGTTTCGTGATAATAAAATTAATTTCGTTATCTATTTCTTGTTTAGCCTTCAACCAATGGTCTGCTATCGCGGCGAAATGAAAGCATTTTTGATTCGAAATAAGTGGCAAAGGATATCTATCAGACACCCTATTCTTATTTAATTCTCTCTATGACATTATTCAAATAATTTTTCAGTTCCAATCTTGTTTGTTTTAAGAATGAGACATTATTTTTAATCCCTATAGAATACCCTAATGTAAGCAGATCCTGTCTAATCATAAGGTCGTTGAAAATACATGAATTCACAACATGGAAAACTCACTATACTGAATCACTCTTAAATTGTTTAAAGAATTTAGATATAACATTTAATGCGAGCGTTACTTCACCTTCTAATGCAATTGTATTATTATATTGTGATTTACTTAGAAAACTATCTTTCAAAAAAAAATTTTTTTTTTATTTTTTATTAAAGAACATTCGGTACCCGAGTCGAAACAACATGAAAACCTCTCACCGGTTTCACTCCAGAGCTAAACCATATCTGGATTGAACAGATATTCACGTGTCGTTCGGTCCATGCTTAATTGGCCTTGAATTCAACACTGGGGCAGCGCGGCGCAAAGTAGCCTCGTTCACCATACTTGGAGCAACTAGGACTAATCATTTACTTCGGCGCGCAGGTTCTTTTAATTGTTGAGAGGAGCTGGTATCTGAAAACTCAGGATGTGTATTAGTATTTGGTCAAGCCTGCTATGGCCTCAACCTTCAGTTAGAACGTGCCCGTCTTGTCTCAGTTGTAGTGCCACATCGTCGCATAATATCTCCGCTTAATATCCATACTACGTGGCTTCTTACGTAAATGTTGTAACCAATCGTATTCACATATTTGAGCTCACTCCTTTTAAAGATTTCATTTTCATTTGAGAATCATGGTTCCTGATTTACTACGTATTTATAGCCATGTTGATGTGTTGACACCATTCCCAAAGACACACACTACCACCGGGGTCAAACGATGATAAAAATGATCTTAGTAATTTTAATATTATCCCTTGATTTATTTGTAAACGTTTGCACACGCTCTGCATTATTGACATCAATGAATGGCATGAAAAAAATTTTCTTTTAGCGTTCTTCAGTACGCAAGTTCTCCACATGGTTATTTTCTTCAGCTGGATAGGATTTATAAGACCGGCATGATCACGAGAGCGATCCCACTTCTGATATCGGATTTATTACATTTTCGTTGATTTTTAAAGAGAGGGACGCCAGCCTCGCTGACGTTACATATGTTACTTCTTCTAGAGCGTTGCATGATATTTTAAAATGAAACTGCAATTGTTCTTAATGCTCCTGTATTTCTCAAAGATTCTTCACAATAACATACTTCAATGATACACACTCACTGAACTCTAAATTACGAATATCAATTCTGAATTCCCCAGTCTGGAGTCCAGACGTCATATTTTTTCACAAGATTCAAACATTGTTCTATTCTCCTTTGATTTCGTTTTACTTTTAACAATAATCATAAATACTAATGAGGTTTAATAAGAATTGATGACAGCCTTAAATTATTTTCAAGTCGCATCCGTTATTAAAGCTGGTAGCGCCGATATATACAATTGTGGAATAATAAAAAAAAATGAATAACTATAGCTTACCTTGATTACGAGTTATCTCCTTACGAATGTACGACAATATTTATATCAATTCCTACAAAAAATGTTTTTTTTTATTACGTGCACAGTTGTTAACTCACGTCGATGTAAACTAGTGGGTGAAGAGGGATGGTACAGGGCCACGATTTGGCGTTGTCAATGTAAAAAAAAATATTCATTAAATGGGAAATTAAGAGGTGGTACGATTTAAATGCTAGTACGATATAACCAACTCTCCCCTATATTTCATAGATGTATATTACACGTATTTAAATTGATTTATTTAAATTTATTTAACCGTATAATTCATACGTCATTAATATTAAAAATGCTAAAAATCAGAGAAAGTGAGGTTAAACGTACAGCTGTATATGACATTAAGAAATAATAAATTATCCAGAAGGGGCTCATAACGTCTTAAGTACGGTACTATTTTGAAAGAGATAAAGATAGACCGAAACTTCGTTTCCTCTCTTTCTTTTGGAGTGCCACAATTCTCATCTTTAAGACATGTCTATTTGTATATGAGTCGTATAGAATCAAAGGCGGCAATCTGCAAATTTTGTCAAAATAAAGATTTTTATATGGAAATTTAAAATAACGCTACGTACTTCATTTACTTTATATCAAAAACGACTATCTCGCAGTGAAATACTTCTTGAAAATCATATCAGTTTTAGCATCAAATCCGGCAATCTTCAACAGCATAAGAATCAAACCCGGCCTTCTAACTCATTCCACCAATCACAAGCGTCCGTGTGATCACGTGACCTAATGATCTGTTGGAAGTTTCTAACGACTTTGTGTCCGTGTTTTTATTGAATTATTTGATTAAATGTAAAGTTGACAGATGCTGGTATTCAAGCGAGGAAATAAGAGTAATTGTTGTTATTATTACTAACACGTGATATGACAAAAGATATTTCGCACCATACTACGACTACTGTCGGCCTTTTATACACTTTATAATAATTTTAAATTACAGCAACTCGCAGAATGACGAGAAAAAATATTAAATATAAAAAATATGTATAAAATCTTTTGATCTTATTTATTTTTATATTATTCCTTTAATTGTATATAGTTATAAAGAATTAAATTCAACAAATACGTAACATTAGACATAAGCTCTAAAAAATTTTTTTAATTAATATCAATTTCTAAATTACTATTATCAATTGATAATTGGTACTTATTTTATAATCTCCAACTGTTTCAAATCACTGTTTTTCAAATTTTATTAATGTACGCTATATACATATTTAATTAAATCAATACAAATGTATTTATATTATTATACTTTTTTCTTCTATGCTGTGGCGCCTCAAATTCGGTTGTTGTATGACAGCTGTCAAGCTCACAAAATTGGCGGGATAGAAGCTACGTGTCTAAGAACAGATAGGATCGTAAACAAAAATAAAATGTTGTTAGAGTAATGTAAATTATATATTGTGTTATGTCCGGAGTAAAGTTCTATGTGTTGGGAGGCGGGCGATGGCGGGAGGTGGACCTGTCGTCTGGTCTCGTCGAGGGCTGGGGCCCGGCGAAGTTCCTTGTGGCCCGCGGGGGCCGGCTGAAGTCTCAGAGGCGGGCCCCTGTGTTGAGGGGGCTGCGGGCACTTGCGGCTGGCAGGCCTACCACCGTACATGATGGACCGATGCTCACACAGATCAGGTTTTTCAATCAGACCCAATATCCCATACATTTTAACATAACTGGTCAAAAGCAAAGCGTTTAAGAACAAGATACAGCAGTACTGTTAACGATAACTTATAAATATTTTCCACTGTTTATAAAAGCTGTATCAAATTCAAAAATATTTATTATTTATATGTGAATAACCAAGTGGTAGAAGTCAAACAGGATGTTATATATAAGCAAACTTTGAATACTCATCATGACTACTCCCCGGCCAACTGAACTTGTAGAACTACATATACAAATGTTCAAAATAACTCAAATGAATGAAATATGTTTTATTAAATTTATTTTATAACTTATATCTCAGTTTCAACCAATTTATATCTGATTTTTTAAATATTATTAGTGTCTTAATCCAAGTATTGCCTTTTGTTACATACACAAGGTAACAAAAACTGTTCCTTGTTCTTAAACACAGATTAAAAGTTTTTCTTCAATATACTTGATAAATGTTTGTTTCTTGAAACTGACTTAATAACAATGTTTCTATGACGCTAACACCCAAAAACAATTTCAACATTATAAAATGACCACAGAGTATGGAGATACCAAAACAATTTTATTTACAAAATGCTTATTGTAACATTTTTTTCTTTGCTTTTCTCTATATAAATAAATGCTCAGCGACTGCAGATTAATATAAGGTTGAGTTATATTATATTATTAAATCTGGTTTTTATGGTAGAATATGTATTAGATAGATTTAACATACCTATGTATATAAAGAAACTCATGTTAGTTACACTATTTATAACTCTAGAAAGGCTGTAGAGATTTGGCTGGAAACATGTAGGGAGATTGCTTAGAATAAGGATATTGAATTCTGTTCTATCAAAAAAAACCTTAATAAACTCCAATATCTGTTTAAATATGGCCTCTAGAGCGGAATAGTTCTCCCGGTCAGCTATACATATATTACTAAAGAATAAATTAACGCGGACGAAGTCTCGGGCAAAAACTAGTATATATATAAATAAAGTTCTGTAAACGCATTGTATTATAATAATCATCATTAACTAAACATATATGGATGTTCATTGAGTAGATATTTTAAAGTAATTCACAAAATATGTGTATCAATTAAAATTGTCTACAAATAATGTCCTGGTACATCTCTGAATCAGTTTGATTGACTTAAAGGAAGTTGTCACGATGAGGATTAACTTTTATATTATTAATATATCCAATTAGAATTGTTTCCGCGCAGGCAATGTCAGGAGTACAGATAGTATTATAATATTAAGCCAGAATTCTTTGTGAAGTACCACAAAAGTTGCTCTTATTATTATATTTACTATGATTTTATATACCAAATGTACATATGTTTCAGACAGGAAACAATCTCCAAACCGAAGCCCCGCCCCAGCCCTCGCCACGTCTGTGAGCCGTGTCACGTGTCATGCCACACTCTGTGTCGGCCACAACACTACGGGTGAATACTACTACTAATACTATTCAAATTTGGTTGGGTAGAGAGAGGAGCTTGGATGCTAGTACACTGATAAATATGTAAATATTATATACAACAGAACTAGATAAATAACATAGGAAATTAGGAGCACAATAAAATATGTCCACTCAATCTAATGTATAATCGGTGACAAAGCCACTTACGAATACTTTAAAACTTACTAACAATTATTTATAATAAATCTACCCCACATATATCACATACACCTGGGTCGTGAGTCCCAGTCACTGTTGAAGCTCCTCTCACTACAACGATGGACCCGACACACACACCGTGAATACATGGAGTGATAAGAGGTTTCGTCTTTAGTGTATTGCTCTATTTGATCTAGTGTAGCGTGAACATATAACAGTTGTACTGAGTATGTAGTAGCTTCACACAGACGATAGATGGCGCTGACGACTAGTTACAATAAACTTTATATATCTCACTTTGAGTAAGACACTACCTAGTATTATGTCTCTGACAGTACTGATGACACATATTTCTGTAGGTGTGGTCACAACCCCTTGTACAACGAACAGAGGCCCGCCCTCCCCGCGGCCGGCCCGCGAGTCTCACATGCCTCCGTACAGGCGGACCTCACACCGGACAGGCAGAGCAACCAACATGGACGACACGTGACTGAGGAGACGACGACCAGAGAACAAGATAAGAACTTGAACAGAACTAAGAACACGGAGATTAAGATCACTCACAGGACGAGAGACGAGCGACCAGCGACACGGAGACGGAGCGAGAGGAAGACGACTCACACGGAGGAGGAGGAGAGGAACAAGAGGGAGGAGCGGGGGGGAGGGACGGGGAGAGTGTGCAAGGAACTGATCATCAGCGAGGAGGAGGTGCTGCTGCTGAGAGGCTTCCTGGCCAGGGACGAGAGGAACGTGTTCCGAGCGGACCTGCACAGGTTCGACGCCGATGACGATTACAAGAGAAACCTGTTCTACAGACTGAACCCGCTCGTGAGCATAGAGCGGAGCGAGCTATTCCACACGCGCGGGCAGCCGGACACGAGCTCCTCACTCACACGAAGAGACTTCATGTCCACGCTGGGCTTGAAGGAGGTGGACGCGGAACACAAGGACGAGCCGCGGACGACCAGGAGGAGGACGCGGGCCAGCCAGCGGGACAAGGAGAACAGGGGAGGGGACACGGGGAGCAACACGCGGCGCGGGGCGGGAGGGGGGGCGCTGAGGGACGCGGCGGGGGAGACGAACAGGCGCGGGGACGGGGTGGAGGAGAACAAGCGGTGAGTGAGTGTGGTGATTAATATTGTATGTCTACTACATTGATAGTAAGACTCGACAAGTCCTCAACAAAAGGTCCAAATATGAAAGTGCCGTTCAATTTTGTTCTGTATTCCGTTAGATCTTGTTCCCCTGAGTATTTATTACTATGATATCAAAGCTATAGGCTCATTGTCCTTGGTTTTATTGGAGTTCAAAACTCAACATCTTCATACATTTTCAATGAGTTTAATTAACAAAAACAAATGATTTGTTCTACTATATTTTTAAACATTGTTTAGTAAGATGTATTGGTTCTTGATCTATTTCGGACATGCTGATCTTGTTTTGTGTTTTTGAGTATTTTATTGTGTATTATCAATGATTTTATTTAATTTAATTATTAAATACTTTAAAATCTACTAACTATGTCATATCTACAGTCATTAAAGTACACTGAGCACGTCTACGACTGTTGTTATTGCGTATTACAAGATCTGTCTAATTGACATGTTAATTCTTCCGGCTATAATCTAGAAAAACGGAACAGTGTCATAATAATCAATACTCAGGGGACAAGTTCTAACGGAATACAGTATATTTTTTAATGATCGTCACTGTCATATTTGTACCAAAAATGTATGAAGACACTGTGATGTCCTTTAACATAACTTTTCTTCATTATTAAGCTGTAGTATATTTACACAAGTCTCCTGTCACTTACAGTCAGTGAAGTCCTAGTAATATTACGTCATCATCATGTTAATTCTCCAATAGTATATGTATATGATACGTGTATGTGTGTGTGTGTGTCAGGTCGAGGGTGTTCCGGGAGTACAGCGCGGAGGAGGACGCGGCCATCGTGAGGCTGGTGAGTGACGGAGAGAGGGCCGCCAGGGTGAACGGGAACACGCTGTGGAGGGAGCTGCAGCAGGACCACCTGCGGCTCACGGGCCACGGTGAGAACACACGGACATACACACACACAGACACACACACTACTGAATGGCACTCACAACACTTTCTTTCTAAGACCCGGCGAACTTCGTATCGCCCTATTATCAAGAAATATCTGTTACGTTTTTTTAAATAAATAAATTTAGGTTATACATAAGCCTCAGAAACACGTGTTGGTTATGCTATTAGAAATCTTACAACGACCTTTGAGTTCAATATAATAATGCGTTTAGGGTGCTGCTGGGGCTGCCTCGGTTCTGTAGTGCATCGGGAATGTTTGTAGCAGCGCGGGTTAACTGTTTCTTCCAGGGCCGTTTTATCCATTAGGCATTATAGGCAACTGCCTAGGGGCCCTGCCACGTTCAGGGGCCCCTGTGCTACAGGGAAAAGACTGGGCAATGTTTCTTAAACAGTAAAAAATTAATTTGAAAATTTGCTCTGTACATTACATCGACGCTATTTTAGTACATTTCGGAACGCATTCCTTATTAGATATTATTATTATGATTATTATTATAGTTTAAAAGTTTATAACGCAGTAATATAATTGCAAGCAATTTTATCGCGGTAATTTAATTAAAAACGCTCAAAACTCTTTGTTGTGAATGCACACTTACTATACTGGTACCTACCAAGTATGTATATTCTATGGCCAAGCTACTTTCATAAGGTTAAATTCATTGGCTATAATGGCAATTGAAAATGACGTGTTGGAGAAGATTACCTTTCAGGATATCTTGAACGATTTTGTATCAAAAAAAGTTAGAAGAGTTAATATTTAAGCTATGTATGTTTTTTTTTAAATGCATAAATAAACATTCTGTTCATTTGATTCAACATTTTTATTGAATAATATGATGATATACCCAGGTTAGTAAAAAACGGTGTAATTTTGAATTTTGTTGTGTTAACGAAAAAATTCGAAGAGGGTAGGGGGCCCTGGATGAGCATTGCCTAGGGGCCCCGACAGGCATAACCCGGCCCTGGTTTCTTCGCTACTATGCGCAAAAAGTGAGGCTCGTTACTACAGAGACTACGGAGCAGCACCAACAGCATCCTAAATATTATATGTAAGAGGCTAGATTGTATATATGTTAATTATTGCTGCGTCATCTCTAGTGGGATGGTGAAGCAATAATAAATACTAACGTAGTCTTTAAGTTTTATATTGTTACTAACAAATTGAGTCTTGTGTTACTTGATTTTTAAATTAAATAAATAAATAAATAAAATTATTAAATAGTCGCTCATATATGACGTTTTCATTTTTAACATAGCGCCATCTATTGAATACTTAACTCAGTCAACAGATAATTGTAATAATGACAAATAATTTTCTTTAATAGACAAATTATTTGCAATAAAATAATATTGTGACCATAAATTGAGATGTAAGCTATCCTATCTTTCAAGTTGGATCAAAATGCACACGGAATGCAAATCAAATTTAAAATCGGTTTAGTAGTTTAGGAGTCCATCGCGGTCAAACACGTGACACGAAATTTTTATACAGTGTGACTGGTGAATTACTATCAATATTTAAGGAGAATACTCGGTACATGATTCTCATTCGAATTATGTAAAAAAAATAGGCACTTAATTTTTGACAAAATTTCCGTATAAATAAATAGTGTTGACACGTTCCAAGTGTGGACGCGTGCGGCGGCGTGCTGATACAACACTACGCCGCAACACGCGTATGTGTGTGTGAGTGTATACCTAATCTGTAGGGTGTGCACACGTTGCGTAATTTATTACATAACTTTTGGTTAACTTTACTTAGAAGTTTATTAATATTTATGTTATATTAATTTTTATTTTGTCATATATGATCGTCAAATATCACGTCCTCAAGTATCGATAGTAATTCACCAGTCACCCTGTATATATAAAGATGTATCATTCCTTATAGTAAATGCGGGACTCGTCATGACCGTTGTGTGTAGTTCTCTAACCACAGACAATAGATTTCGCTGAGTGTTGAACAACTTGCCTATGTATCACACACATTTACTGTGAATTTAACTAAATAGTACACTTGGGCGAAGTCATAAACTAAAACTTGTGAACTAAAGATTTAATAACTTCAATATCTGAGATAATTTGTTTACTTAGAGGATGTAGGGAGCTCACTTATCACTCGTTACTATATAACCTCCCCCCCCCCGCAGCCCGCTCGTGGCACTCTCTCCGTAACCGCTACCTCCGCTACCTGCTGCCCTCCCTGTCGTCGCTCGCCTCCCCGTCGGTAGCGTCTCGTCTCCGCGCCGCGGCGGCTTCGGGTGAGATCAAGCGTCCGTCCCGCTGCCGGCCCGCCGACAGTTCCTTCCACCGCCTGCCGCCCGTCACCAGCGCGTGGGCCCGCCGCCGCCGCTCCCCCCCGCGTGAGTCTCCCCCTCACACTCCTTCCCCTTCCTCTCCCTCTCACTCCACCTCCTCCGACTCCTCGTCTCCCATACCGGACACGACCAGGAGGAGCGAACGGAACAAGACTGAAGGTAAAGTGATACACTTTAATTAGTACTATATAATATACATATAAATTTTAGTACATGCATATGATCATATATACGTTACACATTTTGTTCCCTCACCCTCCAGGTGTCTACCTGCTCTTGGTAAATGTTTCTTATACATTCTATAATAATGTTGTACAAGAATATAATTTTATGTCCTTAAATCTTGTCGTTTGACATTCTTTGTTGACATATACAGGGTGACTGGTGAATTACTATCAATATTTAAGGAGCATACTCGGTACATGATTCTCAGTCGAATTATGTAAAAAAAATAGGTACTTAATTTTTGACCAAATTTCCGTATAAATAAATAAAGTGCGGACACGTTCCAAGTGTGGACGCGTGCGGCGGCGTGGTGTTGTATCAGCATATGTATATGTGAGTGTGTTTGTATACCTAATCTGTAGGGTATTCACACGATGCGTAATTAATAACATAACTTTTGGTTAACATTACTTAGATGTTTATTAATATTTATGTTATATTAATTTTTATTTTGTCATATATGATCGTCAAATATCACGTCCTCAAGTATCGATAGTAATTCACGAGTCACCCTGTATAAGATGAATTTATATGAAGTCTTATCATGTACTAATGTAATCTGTATGTACATGTAGCGCCCCGCGTGCTCCGCTCGCGCGACGTCCCCCGCACGCCGACCTACGACGAGCTGACGAGGAGGTTTAACGAGCGACACGCGCGAGACTCGGATACGTCCGGGGCGGAGCGCCGCAGCCCCCGGGGACTGCGCCCCGACCAGCCCGCAGCCCTACAGAGACCTCACACGAGACGCCTTTACAACCATGCTATGTGACCTACACTTATATGTTTTACTTGTTCATATCATTTTGTATTACTTTTCAGTATATCTTTTTCAAAACTTTAATCAATCTCTGACTGTATGTTGTTTATGCTCTTACCACAGGTCCTCTTACTACATACAACTCATTCTGTTACTATCAAGTGTGTAGTTTGAGATACGTGTGGTAATTAAGATTCTAACTGACTGTAAGTCGCCAAGTGTTTTTTGTTTGATCGAGACGATATTGTTTAGTTGTACTTGTAATTATGTTGAATGTTCTAATAAATAAATGATTGTATATATGACTGATTTACATCCAACTACTGTGTGTCTGACTGTCTGCTCTACCTCATCTACACAACCAAGAGTTACAGGTTAAATATTTTAAAATATTGTCAATGTAACATAAATATTAGGGGTAATTTGTATCTAATATTATAACTTTCTACTATATAAATGTCTCAAATTATTTTGAAAATCAAAATCCTGGATCTCAGAATAAATAAAAATATAAATGTATGTTGAAGAGTTTGAAAAAGCCTTCAGTATAATAAAACTTTGATACAGCGCAGTATAATAATAAGACAGAGAATGAGAACAGGGAAGTAACAAACACAAGTAAAACATAACTTGTATTTACACATTTACAAAATAAACAGAGACAAAACTCCTTACATCAAATAATAAAGACGCCTGCAGACGTGCGGATGTACGACAGCCACAGTGTATCGTGTGTAGGACGCCTTACATGAAATTATCATAAAAATTCACAAAAGATATAATATGTACCTGTCCGGTAATATTTAAAATGAATTAAACCTTAATCTATACACGAGATGAATACTGAACATCAGTAGAGATAATAAAATATGGAAAGACGATTAAAAAGAATCGATTTTAAGTAACAATATATGTAATCACATATACGGGACATCACTAGTCGGTCACATCACTCTCCGATGAGAAGCATCTACCAGTAATACTTCATTCAATATCTCTGTTTCCTAAGCACAGCCTAAGTCTATATATAATATTTGATGTTGAAACATTCAGAGACAGCTCTATACTAAGTAGTGTAACACATACACGGACCGCGGAGCACATCACAACACTAACTTATTAATAAAGAAGTCGCTCAAAAACACCAAGTAGACGCTAAGAGATGCGCACACGCACACTTACACTACTAAATATGTAGAACATACATTTATATTCTGATTTAAACATATATATCTCTCTCACAATATATTCATCGACCTCACTCCCCCCTCTACACCAGCTCCAGCACCTTGATGGCCCCCTGACTGTTGGCGGCCAGCAGCGCGGGTCTGTCCGCGGCGCGCCTCCAGCACACGGCCGACACGAACTCGGCGGGCTCCTCGTCCCTCCTCTCCCGCTCCAGGAACCCTCGCACCGCGTCGAACCGGTGAGCCAGCAGCGGCCGAGACAGACCCGCGTAGTACACGTACAGCGCGTTGTTCTCCGACCCGCACGCCACGTACTTCCCGTCCGTGGCGAGGCCCACGAAGTTCTTCTCGTTGGTGTGTCCGGTGAAGGAGCGCACGCACCGCGGGGACTCCACGCGCCACAGCTTGAGCTGCGAGTCCGTGGAGGCCGACACCAGCGTGCGCGCGTCCACGAACTTGACGTAGGAGACGGCCTTGCGGTGGTCGCGGAACACGGCCAGCGGGGCGCGGGGCGCTCGCAGGTCGTAGTAGTGCACGCAGTGGTCCGCGGAGCCGAAGGCCAGGTGGCAGGAGGAGCGCGGGTTGAAGCGCACGCAGCACACGTTGAACTTGGCCTCCAGCGTAGCCACGGAGCGCTCCGCGTTCAGCGCCCACAGCTTGACGCGCGCGTCGTCCGAGCCCGAGGCCAGCAGGCGTACGTCCGCGCGGTTGAAGTGCACGGACCAGCAGCGCTTGTCATGCTCCTGCAGCGCGCGCGTGCGCACGCCGGCCGCCGCGTCCCACACGCTCACCGTGCCCTCGTAGTCCGAGGAGGCGAGCACGTTCTTGTGGTAGGCGTTCCAGGACACGCACGATATCTTGTGCGAGCACTGCATCTCGGCGCACGGGTAGTGTACGTCCACCGCGTCCCGCACCACCGCCTCGAACTCGAACACCTTGATCCTCTTGGTGACGCCCGCGATGGCGAAGAACTCCTCGTCCTTGTCGAACTCGATGGTGGACACGATCGTGGAGTAGTTGATGGCGTCGCTGCAGTACGACAACGTGGCCAGCGGACGGAGGGAGCGGTAGCGGGTGAAGGCTGCCAGGTCCTCGCGGAACGCCTCCAGTCCTCCAAAGCCGCCCTCTCCTCCGCCGGCGCCGCTCCCGGCCGGGGCTCCGGTCCCACCGACGCTGGCCGGTGGCGGAGGAGGGACACTGGGTGGGGGCGGGTCACCCTCGGGCGCGCGCTGGTCCCCGGCGGCGCTGGAGGCGCGGGTCTCCGGGGCGGAGGCCTGCTGGGGCACCACGTCCGCGTCCACCAGCGTGCTGGAGGAGCCGGCGGGGGGAGGACAGGGCGGGGGCGCGTCGGAGGAGGACGGAGGGGCGGCGGGGGCGAGCGGGGCGGGGGTCGCCGCGCCTGAACCAGGGAAATACAACTCGTCGGCGCGGTGTGCGAAGTAACACTGAAACAAATGATGCAGAAGAGATTAGCTTCTCATAAGGTGCCTCGTCATCATATGTAGGTTTAAAGAAGTTTATTTCCAAAAAGAACAAAGTTCGCTTACAAAGGAAATTTTAAAAGTTATAACTACAATTAAGATTATAAATAATAAAAAGTAGTATTAAACAAGATCAGTGAAATCATCTAATATATGGGTTCTTAATCGTTTTTTAAATATATTTAGGGATTTTGAATTGACAACACTTAGAGGCAAAGAGTTATACAGCTGTGCTCCTTCAAATGAAATAGTTTTAATGCCTTACTTGGTTCGAGTTTTAGGTGTTTCTAGTTTATATCTGTTCCTTGTGTGGTAAGAATGGGTTTTGGTTTTAAATGTAATTTGAGAATCAGTAAGGTTTGTTAATATTTTTCGAATAAGTATCAATAATTTATATTTATACATTTGTTTAATAGATAAAACTTTAGTTGTTTTATATAAATCTATAGTAGGTGTATAATAATCCATATGAAATAAGACTGATAAGTTTATTTTGAGAGATCTGCAAATTTTTTAAATGTGTTTTAGCCGCGTTGCTTCATATTTCTATAAGGTATTCTAATACTGGTTTTACTAAAGTATTGTAAATAATGTTTCGTACTCTTGGAGGAATACAACGTGCAGATTTACGTAAAGCTCCAGTAAGCGAAGTTATTTTGGAATGTATGGAATCTATATGAGGTTTCCAATATAAATTTTTATCTAAAATTAATCCTAAGTATTTTTCATTATTTGACTGTTTGATAGTTTGATTGTTAAGTATCAATTCATTATGGGAAGGAATAGATTTATTTTTGGCCGAAAAAATCACATATGTTAGGTGTTTGGGACGTTTAGTGTAAGTAAATTGTACTGTAACCATTCGTTTAGGATATTTAAATCGTTTTGTGACTTGAATTTTTACTTATTAGGTTTTTTATACATTTAATTGATTTTACTGTAACCCCATCAATCCCTGTACTTGTGTTATAATCTAAACTATTAATTATATGTATTACCTCTTGTTCCATAAAAGGTTTGAGTAGCTCAAGGTTTTGTGTGTATTTATGTACAGATAAAGTTTCGCTTTAAGTGTTGTAATTATGATATTTAGCCGGGATTTGTTTCATTAACACCTTGCCTATAGATAAAAAGTAATGATTGAGACACTCACATATGTTAGTTCCTTCAGTAATAGTCTCATTATTTATAATTAACTCTGGAGGAGCACAGCTTTTATTTACTGCTACGGAATTTATTAAGTCCCACACAAGTTTTGATTCATTAAAGCACCTTATGAAAGCTTGGTAATAGTAATTGTCTTTAGTATTTCGTATATTTTCACCAACTTTATTTCTTTCATTGTTAAATTTTAATTCATTATTTTTATCTTGTTTAAGTTTATTCTATAACAAATTTCGCTGACTTATATCTTGAATTATACCTATTTTTGTTGATCCAATCACTTCTAGGTAAGTTTTGTATCTTATATTCAGTTAGTTTATTTTGCTGTATTTCGGTTACAATAAAGTTTTCCAATAATTTAAAATCACAATCATGGTTTATAAAATTAGACTAGTCAATGTTCTTATAAAGGGTATCATAATTTATGACTTCATATTTAAGTTTCCTTTTAGATTCATGTTTAATCTTTTTTTATCTCACAATATATTTGTTTGTGATCCGTCAGTGGTGAATCGATGATAGTAAAATTAAATTTTTTAGTTATATTTGTACAAACATGATCTATAATAGATATGGATGTCTCTGTTTCTTTGGTGCAGTAAATGTTGTCTATTTTATTTAATACTAGTAAACCTGGCGAACTCCGTTTCGCCTCCAGAAGGCTTTGTTTTATGAAACATTTCGTTCGGTGATTAAAAGATGAAGATTTTTTTTTTTGTTTTATATTTGAAAAGGTAAATTTTTATTTCATTTCGCAACAGTAATAAATTCATTTCGATTAAAAAAATGAAGTGTTATTTAGTTGAACTTCTCTAAGTAAATGAAAGTGAATCCATAGTAGATACCGAATCGAAGCGTTATACGTGTACGCAAATTATACGTTTCATTGAAGTGTTCCTTTGTAAACTACATTTTTTGTTCTTGGTCTAACGTTAACACAAATAAAGCGGATGGTTTCCCAACTTGTGAACACACAAACTGTAACTAACTGCCCATGTGAAAAACAATGATTTTCTGAATTTATCCCGCAAATACTAAATTACATATCTTTCATTATACGTTAATTGCATAGCTGTCAATTGTGTTTCGTTATTCCACGTTTTATAGTGACTGACGTTTCATGTCAAGTCCCACGGGAATGCTGTCGAACGGAGTAAAAAGTATCCTATTGCAATTTCCTGGCTCTAAACTACCTCCCTGCCAATTTTCAGCTAAATCGGTTCAGCCGTTCTTGAGTTGTAAGTGCAGTAACTAACACGACTTTCTTTTATATATATAAGATATCACAGCCAGCCTCTTTAACAATACTAATATATTTCTTAGTAATAAAAATTTTTTTTTATAAATTTATATTGAAATCACCAAAAATTATACATCTTTTTCTTGTTTCTAATTGTGAAATCTCGTTGTATTCGTACTTGGTGGTTTGTAAATTAATCCAATATTAATAGAGTATCTCTCTAAGTAAATCTATAAAAAGTTATTTCCGTCTAAATATTTTTCTTCGGTAACATGATGACACAAACCCTTATGTATATAAATGTATACACCTCCACCAATTCCACCCCTACTGTAGTTAAAGATACGAGTATAATTCGGTAGTTGTATTGCATCAGCATCTTGATCGGATTTTATCCATGTTTCTATTAATAACACTAAGTGTATCGTGTACTTAAAAGATTTTAAAATGCATTTTATTTCGTCTAATTTGCATGGTTTTAATAAGCTCATTACATTGGTGTTAAATTTTTTTAATGAAATAGAAGTTGTATTAATATTTTTATAATCGTATGCTATTTGATAAGTTATATTCTCGTCTAGGGTGTCTTTATTTTTTTGTCGTTTTTTGATGTTATATTAAAGATTTTAGGAACTCCATTGTAGTACTTTATAGTAAGATTTTCTCCATTATTTTGCCTTTGACGCAGTTCGTTCTTAAAATTTTTAAAATACTTAAGTTGCGCAGAAGTTTTGTCCCAATAGATACGAACGTTATGATTTTTCTATTACGCAATATATATTGAGCAGTACAAGGTTCTTTAAAGCACACTTTAATATTTCTATTTTTATTAGGAATATATTTACCCAATCTTATTAACTTTATAGGCATCGGACATTCAGGATATATATCTTTTATAACTTTCATAACTTCTTGTGTATCATAGTTACGCCTTGAATCCGCAATTTTATCATTTATTTCAATAATACCCGCGACAATTATATTTTTCTGGCGGTCGCATCGGTCACTTTTATAAAGCAGTATTTACCTTTCCCTTCTTTATATTTATATACAAATTTTCCGTATACAGGGTGACTGGTGAATTACTATCGATACTTGAGGACGTGATATTTGACGATCATATATGACAAAATAAAAATTAATATAACATAAATATTAATAAACTTCTAAGTAAAGTTAACCAAAAGTTATGTAATTAATTCACCAGTCACCCTGTATACCAAATGTCCTTATATATCAATTTTCCTTATATACCAAATGTCTTTATATAAAATTTTTCCTTATATACAAAATGTCCTTGTATACAAATTGTATAACACAATTCAAGTTTCAATTGACGTGAATTGTCCACATTTATTTACTCACAAACGCACGTGAGTGTTGCCGGTGGATCGACACGTCCGACCTCGGCCGCGATCAGAGACTATTTCTACAATATATCATATTGTGGTACATGTAATATATGTACCTGCACAAAGTCATCAAAGTGCGCCGCTAGTCTCCTCCACCTGGCGGCGAGCGCGTCCCCCCCTCCCCCGCTGCCGGTCGCCGACGCGAAGCTCTCCTCCTCCTCGTTGGGTGGGCTCCCTAACAAACAACATTCATGAGTCACAAGTGTTAACAAGTCCACACGTGACGTCACTATCCTCTACTCACGAGGCACGTCCCCGAGCTCCCCCAGTCGCGGCCGTACGTCCCGCAGGTCCCTGTGGTCCGCGTCCCCCCCCAGCCCCGCCGCCCCCGCACGCAGCTCCCGCAAGACACCCGACACGTGCTCCATGTCCTGTACACAAAAACACGCTCAACACACGCACACAAATAATCTAATATATAAAATTCTCGTGTCACGGTGTTCGAATTTGAACTCCTCCGAAACGGCTCGATCGATTTTCGTAATCCTTATCGAGGATACTAACCAGGGCTGAGAATCGGCCAACATCTATTTATCATCCCCCTAAATGTTAAGGGTAGTCCACCTCTAAATTTTTGTTTTTATTTTTTAGGCAAAATTTTTTGTTTTTATTTTTTTATGACACAGCCTACAAAAATACATACAACCCTAAATTTTCACCCCTCTGAGATCAACCCTTATTTTTTATTTATTAATTAAAAACTGTAATTTTTTTTCAAATTTTTTTTTTTTTTTTTTGATGACTTACAATAAAAAATCTCATATTACTCAAATTTTTTCACCCCTCTACGATCAACCCCTATTTTTTATAAATATATATTTTTTAAACATATATTTCTTGATTATAAGGCGGTACGAAGTTCGCCGGGTCAGCTAGTAATATATATAATTCTTCTGTGAGTGTATATGTCACTGAACTTCTCTCAAACGACTGGACCGATTTTGATGAAATTATTTGAGTGTGTTCAAAGGGATCTGGGAATTGTTTAGATTCACAATTTTGTCCGCTGGACGACGTTTTTATAATTAATTTTTAATTTATTAGTAGTTGTTGATACAAACTTTTTTTTTTATATTAGATTTGACAACTATTTAATATGACAATCATTCTGTCGCACTTCAAAACACAGAGATTAATGGCTTTAATAGGTAAACTCCAAAAATATAAATAAAAAAACGTAACAGATATTTCTTGATTATTATAGGGTCATACGAAGTTCGCAGGGTCTTCTAGTAATAATATAAAACAATGATGTACATATGTGTATGTGTATTTTACGAACCTTCTTAACGAGCGCGGCCTCCCTGGTGAGTTGTTCCAGCTGGTGCGTCCGGTGTCTCAGGAGCTGCGCCAGGAACTCGTACAGCAGCCGGTGGTGCGCGGCCGCGGACTCCGCCTCCAGGAGACGCTTCCTGCGAGTGAGGACGTCCAGCATGCCCTCCACGTCGGGCAGCGCGAGGTGGCGCGCCTCCGAGGCCAGCAGGGCGCGGAGACGGTCCGCGTCCGCCGCGCTGGACGGCGAGCCGGCGGCAGTAGGGCCGCTGACGACGGGGGGACGCGAGCGGAGCCGCCGGCGAGCTACTAGCTCGTTGAGGAGGAAGTTCGGGAAGTAGTGGTCCCGACCCGCGAGCGCCGCGCCGCACTTGGGACAGCGACGATGGAGCTCCACCGACTTGGCGATGCAGGAGTAACAGAACGAGTGTCCGCAGCGGGTCACGTAGGCCTCGTCGATGAGCTCGAAGCAGACTGGACACAGCAGGTCACAGTCCTTGTCCTCCAGCGAGCCGCCCAGCCCGCCTAGAGCCGCCGCCCCCGCGTTCAGAGCCGCCGAGCCCGACATCATGGACCTCTGACAACAGACAGACATACAACATTACATTACATGTTATAACACAAAACCATACTACTACAAGTCAGTATCGCTGTTTTGATACTAAATTCAATAACTAAAAGAAAAATTTTGGAAAAATTATGAGCTCAAAATAAATGTTGATAACAAACATCAAGTGTGTCTTTAAATAAAAACAGGACTGATATTTAATATTTCAATCTTTTTTTATTTGTATAGCAAAAAATCACAATGTAATAATACTGTTTAAATATTTTACTGCTTACTGCTTAAATATTAGTTTGACATCGGTAATAATGTGTATCTCCAATAATACTATTGATATATTTTAATAGTTATATTGTGTTACTTTAGCATAAATAACATTATGTAAAAATATTGCGAGAAAAATTTAGATAACTATTAAAAAATACCGAATAAAACAAACCAGGTGGACATTTATGATATTTTATAAACTAAATAAAACAATTACTGCATGATACTAGGTTTGGATATGGGAATAAATCATGAATTTAAACAACATTATACTCAATTTGTTTTGTTTCAATTAATCAGACTAAATTTTATCCTTTTTTTATTGTGATAAAAATAAGTTTTATTAAAATCTTGATGAGTTTAAAAACACAACTTAACTAAATCTTATATTGAAAATAATAAATGTACATAACTATAATAGATACCCGGGCAGTGTTTAAAGTAATAATGAGATCAAGAGAAATTACAGTTAAGGCATCTTTAACCAGGTAATATTAGGTACTTGTACCTACTTATATAAGAGTAGCATAATCTTTAAGAAGCATAATTATTATAAACTGGTAGGAATATAAAATAATATCGCAATGATTCATTAATCTAACAATTTTGCTATAAAAATTTGTCTTAATCATTCACCAGTCTTAATAGTATCTATCAAAATCTGCACAAATGACAAATATGACAATGTTTCCCCAGAACCGTACATAAAATAGGCCAAAACCATAATGACAATGACTCTCTCTGTCAGAAATGATTGGAATAAAAATTTTGGGTTGTGTGTAGTTTTTAAAGCCACATGATGAAAAAAAATTAAAAAAAGATTTTTGTCAAAAAAATGAAACAAAGTGAATGACCCTTATCATGAAGGAATGAAAAATAGATTGTAGCTGATTCTCAGACCTACTGAATACATATACAGGGTGACTGGTGAATTACTATCGATACTTGAGGACATGATATTTGACGATCATATATGACAAAATAAAAATTAATATAACATAAATATTAATAAACTTCTAAGTAAAGTTAACCAAAAGTTATATAATTAATTACGCATCGTGTGAACACCCTACAGATTAGGTATACACACACACTCACACATACGCGTGCACACTTGGAACACATCAACACTTTATTTATTTATACGGAAATGTTGTCAAAAATTAAGTACCTGTTTTCTTTACATAATTTGAATGAGAATCATGTACCAAGTATGCTCCATAAATATTGATAGTAATTCACCAGTCACCCTGTATAAAATTTGGTAAAAGTAGATAAAGCTGTTTCAAAGGAATATGGTAACTAACATTGTGATGTGGAAATTTTATATATTAGAAGAAGATTACGAAATGGAAACATATATGTTTGTTTATAAGGGATAAACACAAAAACTACTGAAGTGATCACAAAAATTCTTTCAACATTGCAAGCTACATTCACCATGAATAACATTGACTATATTTATTGATATTAAAGATTAATGACCTTACTAAAACATAGCCCATGTAACCCGAGGTATAAAATAATGAACTAAAAGGTCTTTCTTCACATGCACTGTGGACACTATTTATGATAGAACAAATATAATAATATGGTATTAAAAAAAAAAACAAGAAAAAGCATTATTGGAGGAGAGAAATATAATAAAATGATATCCAACCATGCAAAGCCAGGACAGGCCACTAGTCAAACAAAACTATAGACATAGTAGTATTAATGTAGGTATGTGAATGAAAACCTGGAAATTCTCCAAGTTCAGTTCCACTGTCCAAGATCTTGGTAAGGAGTGACAAGATAAGTGTGTGTGTGTGTGTGTAGATCTTAGTACAGAATATATTTAGATAAGGATCAATACTCAGTTAGTGTAATGAAGTGTGTGATTCAACCTAATTAACGGGTCAAGTTGCAGTTTTATTTATATTATACTAATAATATTAGTGTTCAGTTAATAATAACGCGGGAATTAAGGAATTGATGACAGCTGGGAGTTTAAAGAACCAAAATACTAAGTAAGCATACTCACCGAATGCTGAGTGGAGAGAAAGCTACTTCAGAATCATGCCCGTTGTATGAAGCAGAGCGAGATCTTTTACTTCGATGATGTTCTTACGATCGAGGTGCTCAGCAACACTTCAGAATATCACATCAACGACTCTCTTGTTAAATATACCATGATACATACAAACTATTATTTTTTGCTTGCTAGAAGCCAATGTCAGTTTGCTGTTGTTAACGATTGTACTGAAACCCATCACTGAACCAAAAATCGCTCCATATTACTAGAACTACATGGAAACGGAGCGTTCACCCCGATATACGAACATTCTGACATTTGATTGCAATGTTACTATTAGTTTGAATTTTTAATATTCAATAACTCTTTTCATATTGTTACTACAACAATAAAAATATATTTTTTTATAATTAAAAGGTTACAACATTTTTACTTTAACTAGATGATGTTTGGAAATTTATTAGTGTCCATAATATATAGCAACATTGTAATAAAAGTACAAAGTGCGCCCTCTAGTATCACAATCATGCATTAACAAACGAACTACTTTACCGGCATTACTAGTTCTGTGGGCTAACTGTTTGACCGTGACAGTATACGCCATTTTGCTATTATTACAGAAGGTTGCATTATCTTTCGTCAACAATGTAATGTTCTATGTGAAATGTTTGACGGATTTTAACAGATTTTGTGATGTTTGAGGGCCAGTTTTGGTTCATATAAAGCCAATAGGATTATGGAGGATTCCACCGAACCGGTCAATGTCAGTCCTGGTAAGTTTAGTGACTTAAAATCGAGCTACATAAAGTGAGTGTTCGATGTACGAGGTCGTGTAATGGTAGCTTTCCCGGTTTCAGAACTCTACTTTTTGATAGCGAAATTTCTCTCCGGTGGACCTCTGAAAGAGACTGCAAAGGTAAATAGAATGAGAACAGTCACCGTGACAATAATATGACATTGAAAATATTAAAGTGTACGTTTCTTTTTGACAGACTTTGTTGAAAGAGCTGGCGAGCGCGGAGGTGAGTAAAGCTCTGGCTAGTAGTGCCGGGTTTAGTCCTTATTGTTGTTTTGGTCGCGAGGCACGTGGTGGCGGCTGTCAAACTAAGTTAAACTTTACACACAAGTTTGTGTGCGCTTCCTGTTTCAGGTGCTACCGCGACGTATCGACTGGGAGGGCAACGTTCATTCACAGTCCTACGATGAACTGGTGAGACACTAACTTTTTACCGCCAAAACTTGTGTTTATTTACATTTTTTGACGAGTTAAGCGAATGGTATACAATAAATTGCGAAAAAAGCCAAAATTTTCATGTTTTGTGTTATACATAAAAGTGATCCCTAAATTACGATGGAAAAACGAGAAAAATATTTTGGGCATGTTTAAGTTATTATTTTCGAGTAATTTGCGATTTTGCAAAAATATAGTTGTATAGTGCATTCGATTTGAGTGATAATGTAAATGGGACGCCGCCGTCCTTGTCTAACATATGGCAAAGTTGCTTTCTCATGTAGTCCCGTCTCGCTCTAACATCCGAAGCAAGATATAGGCGGCTCTCATTGGTCGTTGCCGAACGAATAAAAACGAATTCGTTAGCAATGGCCGTTAGTCGTGTTAAGCGGGAGAGTACAAACTATTATACAACTTTTATATTTACAAAACTGAATACATAGTAAAATACGATAGTTCAACTAGTGATCAGTATTAGATTGTTTTATTACGTATATCAAGTAATTTTGCAATAAGTATGTTGTTACTCTTTCAAGGATTCACAATACTCCGAGATATCATGGAAACATTTGGTATTCGTATGCGAACGAGCTCTGCAACTGGCTCGATACTCGACGACACCCGCTATCACCCTGCCAGGACCAGAGAGTACAGCACAGACCGCACTCCAGAACGGGGTGATACAAAGTCAACCCACACAGATACAACTGAAGGCTCGACTCTCACTGTTGAGCGAGAGCCTGACTCGCCCACCTCCCAAATATGCCTCGTTCAAACAGGACCACACTCTCGGTTAGTAGTTAGTAGAAGAATTTTAAAGCAACACCACATCTCGAGATAAACGAAACATAAATAATATTGTTTTACTTTGTTGTAGTTCGTCGCCTGGTGTGCCGCGAGCTGGGCGGCGGCGGCGGGTCACGCGCGGGGTCGGCGGGCGGGGCGGGTCCCGCGCCCTCCGCCGCGCCGCGCCCCTTCCCCGCGCGCCTGCTGCGAGGCCTCACCCTCCAGCGGCGCACGCTGGGCCACCTGTCCGCCGTGTACTGCCTGGTGTTCGACCGCACGGGCCGCTACGTGGTGACGGGCGCCGACGACCTGCTGGTGAAGGTGTGGAGCGCGCTGGACGGCCGGCTGTGCGCCACGCTGCGGGGCGCCGGCGCCGAGATCACGGACGTCAGCGCGTCCTGGGACGGCGCGCTGCTGGCGTGCGGCTCGGTGGAGCGGCTGGTGCGCGTGTGGTGCCTGGCCACCGGCGCGCCGCGGGTGAGGGGACTTGTGTTATTGAAACGACTGTGTTTGTTACAAGATGATTTATTACTGAATTATTAACGCAGCGATCTTAATATTTATACATCTGACTTACATACTACTTATTACACTACACCTCGGGGGGTGAATTGAGAAAAAAAATGTATTGATAATTTTTTTTTATGAATAATTGAATTTAGCTTTTAAATGGTTTAGTTCTATTTTTATGGATCATGTAAGGCT